TATACTCAACAAATTATTATACATGCAACACAATGAAAAATTAGAATTATTGGCACATATCAAAGAGGTTCCTAAAGTGGATTGCAAGTTGTTGTTTTTTCTTCTATGCAGAATAACAAAACAAAAATGTACACTACAATCTATAGTAGTGCCACTGAGAGGGTGGAAGTTTGAAGAAGAAAACTATTGTTAATAAACGTCTCCCAGGAGCTACTGACCCCCTCTGATGTAATATCCAGACACCTATTAGTTAAAAATCAAACTTAATAGCATCCACCAGACATTGTATCACACAAAATGTATTGATATTGTCCATGAATTAATTTAAATTACATTTGGGTAATCTAGGCATCCACTCACAGCTCAAGGTCTAAATCAGTTGACATCAAATTTGTGTCGGAAGAAGTAGTCTGATTTTAGGTCAAGACAAGGAGGCTCATATTGCATATCCCTTTCTTTACTGTCCACCAATAGCAGCAAAGAATACAAACAGTAAGAAAAAACAGTAACCATAGTGATAGGTCACTCCCATATCAAGTCCCAGTATAATAGGCAGCACCTCCCCACCCAATTCCTCTTTCTTTGCTGCTACCAAACAGATAAGTACATGACTATTTTCTTCTTATCATTGCCTTATGGTTTTGTCTACTGTTTATCTGCACTATTGACTATTTCTCTGCTGGTAAACTTGTACCATTCACTGGTTAATTATTGCTTGCAGTTATTATTGTATGCTTTGACTTTTATTGTGTACATTTTATTTGAGCCCAGGGTTCCAGACCCCCTATTTTCTGGCTTTAGTTCTACTTCTACCTTTCACTTGTACCCCTTTGTAAGGCTCTCAAGCTTTTTTTGACTCTCTCCGTAATATTTTCTCCTATCTGCCGGTCTGCCTGTCACTTTGGCGCCCTTTGCGCCTATTCTTGTCATCCCGTTCGGCAGTTTTTCTTCTCCTATTATACCATATACTGTTCGGCTATTCTCACGAATTTCCCTATTCGCTAGCTTGCCTTATTCACTTTCCAATTCGCCTGTTACCGCGTTCGAATTTCTAACCCCCTGCTATGTTCTCCTCTATGGCTCCACATGTATTCACTGTTTTCCGCCGAATGTTCGGCTCTTTCTCCATTTTCTGGTAGAATTCCGCTGCGAATCTCGCGAGATTGCCGGCGGCCGTTTTCTATCACTCTCTCTTCTTCCCATTCCTCGTGTCCTCTACCTATCTGCTGGTCTGGACCCTAGTGAGCTCCCTAATTTTATTCCCTATTAGCTATAACTAGCCTGGGGTGATTAACTCCTGCTAGTTGAAACTTCCTCTTTCAGTATAGTCTTTTCTAAATATTTAGCAGCTCATTATATTTTATATATACAAATGTATTACTTGTGTCTTTGGGATAACTCTCACTAATAATTATTATGCCTAAATCTAAAGGGTCTGCTACCCCTCTTTCCCCTGGGGATATGGATGTACCCCGTGTGCTGGATAACCCTAACTCGGCCAGCTCTGGCCCCCCTTCTTCTGCGGGTGACCCTATGTCGGTGCCCGATGATGCCCAGGCCCTGGCACTGCAACGTTTCGTTACAGACGCCATAATGGCCGCCATGGGCTCCATGTCCTCAGCCCTTTCCCAGACTATATCTCAGGCCTTACTGGCACTCCCTGTGCCCGCAGAAGCACTGGCCACGGCAACGTGTTTAGCGCGTTCCTCTTTGAACCCCTCAGGAGACAGTCCTAGAAAGGCCAAGGCCAAATCTAGACACCTAAGCCCTCCCGCCTCCAGAACCAACAAGACTGGTGTGAAAATATCCACCCATGATAGCGTGCCTATGTCACGCAAGAGAGCCTTTCCGCGCCAGGCAGAACGGGTGCAGCACTGGAAATGTGCCAGAGCACATGCAGAGAGCGACTCCGACTCAGAAATCGGGTCTTGTGAGGAGGCTGTTGATGAGTCCGTAGTTGACTCCAATGATGAGACTGACAGGCAGGACACTGACCCTTTTGCCCCTGCCCTATCAGGGTTGGTAATTAGTGGCTCTCACAGCGACTCTCCCGCTACCGCGGGTTCAACCCTCATGGACCCGTCTGGGGAACCTATGTTTGACCCGGATGCTCTCCATCACCCGAGGTCGGCAGAATAGCTCCCAGCCGCCCATGTAGCAAAGTACCTGGAGAACTGGGTACGGCGCCCCCTTAGCAAGGCGGCGTGCAACAAGCTCAGGGCAGAATGTCCTAGACCCCTGATCCCCAATAAAGTCTGTGAGACTCCCATTGTAGACCCAAAAATGACACAGTTTCTTTCCAAGATGGGTTGAAATCCCCGTAAGGGTTTGGACTCAGCATTAAAGTCCTGCCAGGACTGAAAACAGGCAGGTCGACCCGGAAGAACTCCGTGGTTGGATGCAGAGGGCAATCTGCATAGCAGGCAGTGTGAACGCCTCCCTGTCTATAGAGCGGCGTAAATCCATCCTCTTCAAAATCGAGCCTAAATTGGCCAACCTCGCCAACACTGAAGCGGGCAAAGATGCCCAGGGCTTGTTATTCGGAGACTCCTTTATCAAGCACAGTCGAGAGGTAATACTGATAGTCTATTTGGACGACATCCTCCTCATGGCACAAGATCGGGGGGGTCCTCCTAGAACACCTACAATGGACGATGGACCTACTATGTCGGCTGGGCTTCCTGCTCAATGGGGAAAAATCCTGCCTATCCCCTTCCCGACACATGGAGTTCCTAGGATTCACGGTGGACTCGGAAGCGGAGTCTCTCAGTCTCCCTCTGGCCAAAATACGCTCAATCCGCAAGGAACTGCGACGCGCCCTGGCGCGCCAACAGCTGTCGCTGCGACACCTGGCACAACTTATTGGCCTACTGGCCTTCTCTATCCAGGCAGTGTTCCCAGCCCCGCTCCATTATCGGGGCCTCCAGCGTCTGAAGATAGCACATCTTCGCAAAGGGGCCTCATATGCAGATTTGGTCTCCCTGGACTCGGAATCCCTAGACGAGATGACCTGGTGGATCCACAACCTATCCGCCTGGAATGGCAAGGCCATCTTCGGCTCACAACCGGAATTCACGGTGGGCTCAGACGCAAGTCTCCATGGCTGGGGCGCCCACTGCAGCAGTGTGACTACCGGGGGTCGCTGGACAGAAGCCGAGTCCCGGCTCCACATCAATGCCCTGGAACTACTATCCGGTTCCTTTGCGATCCGGAGTTTTGCGAACGGGACGGCCTGTGCGTGCATCTGGCTGCGTATGGACAACATCTCAGCAGTTCGCTATGTCAACCACCTGGGCGGCACACGCTCAGTGATGCTGGCCCGCTTGGCGAAAGATTTCTGGACCTATTGTTTAGCCAGGGACCTGATGGTCCAGGCGGAATACCTCCCCGGTCTTCACAATACCCATGCAGATTGGAGCTCACGCTATCTATCAGACAGAAGCGATTGGAAATTGGATACAGAGGCGTTCTCCTCTATCTCGTCCCTTTGGGGACCCTTGACAATCGACCTCTTCGCTTCCAGGCTCAACGCCCAACTACCCCGGTTCTACAGCTGGCGCTCGGACCCGGCCGCGGAAGCAGTGGACGCCTTCCTGCAAGACTGGTCCGGCGCACTCCTTTACGCTTTCCCTCCATTTGCCATGATCCCCCGAGTGCTACTCCAAGTAAGACACCAGATGGCGGACTTGGTCCTGCTAGCCCCATTCTGGGGTACCCAGTTGTGGTTCCCACAACTCCTAGAACTGGCAATAGACGTCCCCGCACTTCTGCCGTCCCACCGGGACCTTCTGCTGAACCCTTTGGGCCAACAACATCCCCTCCTACTGGACAGATCATTACGGCTACTCGCATGGAGGATTTCGGGGGTCCCTGGGAAGTCCAAGTTTCGGACACAACTCGACGCCTCCTGGCAGACGCATGGGCTCCCGGCACGCTCATATGGGACCGCTTGGAGAGCTTGGACTGGCTGGTGCCTGGCTAAGGACCTGGATCCCGTGGCGGCTCCTGTGACGGCGATACTCCAGTTCCTCACATCATTATTCGAAGCGGGTTGAGCATACTGCACGATTAACCTATACAGATCGGCCATCACCTCAGCTCATCATGGTTTCAATGGCTGCCTAACAGGCCAACACCCCTTGGTGTGCCACTTACTTAAGGGTTCACGCCTGTCCCGTCCTCCCAGACCTCGATACACAGCCACATGGGACATCTCCTGCGTCCTATCACTGTTTCCCTCCTGGCCGCCCAATTCAGACCTCACCCTGCAACAACTCTCGGCCAAGTTGGTATCCCTGTTCTGCCTCATTTCGTGCAAACGAGTCTCAGAGGTCTGGGCCCTGGACCACGATGCGAGATCTCTCATCCCGGGCGGGGTGACATTTAATATCTCCAGAAGGACTAAGACGGCCATACGTTCAGTCTCGTATCCGAGTTTTCCAACTACCCCTATGTTGTGCCCAGTGACCTGTTTGAGAGAATACGAACTTCGGACGAAGTCCCATCGGTCGGCTTCAACCCCTCAACTCTTCCTCTTGATTCTTCAACCCTTCGCCCCAGTATCCAGCACGACTCTGGCTCGTTGGGTGAAGTGGGTAATGTCGCAGGCGGGTGTGGACACATCCATTTTTAGTGCCCACTCCACATGAGGGGCTTCAGCCACTTCTATGGCCTCTTCGGGGGCACGCCTGACGTATTAGCTGCGAGGCAAACAAGGCTAGGCATTTTTCAGGGGGCGGCAAAAAACGCCGCCCCCCAAATGCCCAGGGCAAATGCCTAGTTAGCCTTGCGGCTAACTGACATCCCGAGCGGGCGGGCGGCGCTGGCAGGCGGGCGGCTGGCGAGGGAGCACCTCCTCTGAGCTGACTGCTCAGCTCCCTCGTGTGCCACAGAGTGAGGCTGGGAGCCGGAAGATGACGTCATATTCCGGCTCCCAGCCTCACTCTGCAGCCGGCGCGCGAGGGAGCTGAGCAGACCGCTCAGAGGAGGTGCTCCCTCGCCAGCCGCCTGCACAGCAGCCAGAGCCGCCCAGCCCGACCGGCAGCCACTGGACCACCAGGGAGAGAGAGACCTCCCCACCCCCCAGCACTCCCAAAGGTAAGGAGGTTGGGAGGGGGATTTAAATTTAAAAAAAAAGTTAATGTGTGTGTGTGTGTCTGACTGTGTGTGTGTGTTTGTTTGTGTCTGACTGTGTGTGTGTCTGACTGTTTGTGTGTGTTTGTGTTTGACTGTGTGTGTGTCTGACTGTTTGTGTCTGGCTGTGTGTGTGTGTGTGTGTCTGACTGTGTGTGTTTGTGTCTGACTGTGTGTGTGTCTGACTGTGTGTGTGTGTTTGTGAGTGTGTGTGTTTGTGTCTGACTGTTTGTGTATGTGTGTGTGTGTGTGTGTTTGTGTCTGACTGTGTGTGTGTGACTGTGTATGTGTTTGTGTCTGACTGTGTGTGTGTGTGACTGTGTGTGTGTTTGTGTCTGACTGTGTTTGTGTCTGTGCATGTGTCTGACTGTGTGTGTGTGTATGTGTCTGACTGTGTGTGTGTGTGTTTGTGTCTGACTGTGTGTGTGTGTATTTAGAAGGTGGGGCGGGGGGAAGGGTTGGGTGGGGGTGGCGCGGGGGGAGGGGGCGCCTGAGTTTTGTCCTGCCTAGGGCAGCACAAAACCAGGATACACCACTGACGCCTGGAAGACCTTATGAGAATGGTGGACTGGTCCAGAGAATCCACCTTCAAGGAATTCTACTTTCGGCCACAGCCACACATTTTCTCGTCGGTGATTGCTCAGCTTTAAACTTGCAATATGAGCCTCGGTGTCTTGACATAAAATTACATGATTTTGCTATTTCATGACGAAAAGTCATGATTTTATGAAAGACACGGAGGCGAGTATTGCCCCTCCCTTTTACTTATTTGTATAACTTCTTTCCCTCCTGTTATATTTTCGTCCTAAGGCGGTAAGTATGGCATTGCGCTCCATCACGTATGACTTATATGTACATCTGAATCATGACACTACATATACCTGGGGGATTCTTGACTTAAGAGGTAATGGTGGACACTAAGGGATGGCTTCCTTTAATTTCCAATGTATCATATCTGGGCATGCGCAATTGGTTTTAGTACCGATTTAACATTTGGGCTCCTGTTATTATGTTTTCACAGGTTGACTCTGCGCTGAGGCTGAGAGCGCCTCATAGAGTACATCACTCTCCACAGGACTTCTCCAAGTTAGCTGGAGTTCGGTGGATAACGCTGGGATGGACTCCCTATGGTTGACATTTCATCATTCGTTGCTGGTTTTGTCCCTGTTCTCGGACGTCCTCTTGCTAAGTATCCGGATGGACTTTGGGCCGTTGCCCTTCTAGTTCTGGACTGTTCCTGGTTCCTGTTTGCTGTTTGCGGGTAGCATCTCCAAAGAAAGAGGAATTGGGTGGGGAGGTGCTGCCTATTACATTGGGACTTGATATGGGAGTGACCTATCACTACGGTTACTGTTTTTTCTTACTGTTTGTATTCTTTGCTGCTATTGGTGGACAGTAAAGAAAGGGATATGCAATACTCGCCTCCGTGTCTTTCATAAAATCATGACTTTTTGTCATGAAATAGCAAAATCATGTAATTGTGAGTGCTGTCACCCATTATGAATCAAACCAAGTTTGAGAACTTCGATAAAAAAGAGACTATTTCAACACAAAAAGCAGTCATACAAGTTTTGCACCATGACCACTATAATGAGCAGTAGTTAAGGTGCTTTGATTGTTCTTTTAAAGAGAAAATTCACACATTGGAAACATTCTGCAACTAGTGTTAACAAGGATTCTTCCGTAAGTCCAGTCTTCTTTAATTAGTTTAAATATTTATTCCTTTAAAAGAGTCTGGACAGTAAAGAGTCATCATTGGCCGAAAAACAAACAAACAAAAAAAAAAAACCCCAAACACAAACATAAGTAAGTTAATAAAGTCTGAAGAAGCTGACATTGAAAATATTGTTTTCATTATATGCACTGTAACTTTGTGTTCCAGTTGTCTAAAAGGACATTAATTTAAGGAAATGAAGGAGGTTAGTTATTAAAGAAAACCTATAGTCCAAAAAATAACAATTGTTTTTTCGGAAGTAAAAAACTAAGTGTAATAAAGATGACTTAACTTGTTTCCAGTGCTTGGACTTCTCTTCTGCAGCTGCATGTTCCACCTTCAAAGACGTCAGCATGCCTCCATTCCAATGCTCATTGATTATCAATGTATTATATATATATATATATACACAATTTTTGCCCACCATAACCTATTTATATATATATATGGAGGCAAGACTTCAGCATGCCTCCATTCCAATGCTCATAGATTATATAATACATTGATAATCTACAAGCATTGCAATGGAGACATGCTGATGTCTTGCCTCCGTGTATATATATATATATATATATATATATATAAAGGTTATGGTAGGGAAAAAATTGTGATTGAAAACCCCTTTCACCTGAAGTCTGTGGATAGTTAATACAATGTTAAACAACAATCTGCACACCAGTCAAGACATAAGACTTGCTTTTCACACAGAAATCACAAATCTGCAGTGATGTTACTACTGCAAAGGATTCTGGGTGGACATATGCAAATTAGTTTAAAAAAGAATCACATATTTGCCTCATTCCATTATATATATATATATATATATATATATATATATATGTTGGCCAAACCCTCCTCCCCTCCAATCAAATAATGCTTTCATCGGCATTTGATTCCAGGATCAAGTTTGACTTGGTGTAAGAGGAAACACCTCAAATGGCTTTCAGAAAGACAAGCAAAGGAGGTGTTTATAACCCTGCAATGTAAAAATTGCAGTTACTATAGAACTTACATGGCAGGGTTTAAATGACAGGTCTTCATTAAGATGCAGTGGTCTGGGTGATTTTAGTGGTTGTTTAATGTAGTTGTTCTGATGCAAAGAGACTGCAGTCTAACTATTCTAAAAAACTATTCTTAAAACAGAAACACTCAGACAGCCACTAGAGGTCCTTCCTGAAGTTGCCAAACACTCTCTATAGAGATGCATTGATCTGATTGATTGTTGTACATGTACACTAGTTCCTCAGTGCTTCCCTATGGGGATGCAGTGGATTGTCTGAGATCATCTGTAATGATGATATAAGCCAGGGGAGAGGCAGGACTGCAACGAGTTTGGTGCAGGAAGGGACTAAGGGTGAGTAAATCTCTTTATTTAACTTGCTAAAAGGGGGCCATAAATCTAAATAGCTAGTAGAACACTCTACTAACACTGTAACATAAGAAATACATGTTAGAGTATCCCTTTAAGGTAGTGGTTCTAGTGTTTAGGCTGTCCCTTTAATTGTACAACTGGAAAATAGGCTGCCATACTGATTTAATGTCTATAATTTGAGTCCTTGCAAAAAGGTTTTCGATCCACTGCATGGGAGTATAAAATGTATTGCTATAAAAGGATGTACTTAATAAGTGATGTACACATAGTTTGTATGTTATTGACAAATTAGCCTCAACATGGCAAAAATCCCCAAAATCAAATGGCACTTCGTAAACTGTCCATGGTGCAATATAATTTATTTTCACCATCTCCAATATTCATACAATTTTCTCTGGCATCATCATATGAGTCTGGATGAATTGTACATTTACACACTGACTAAATGATCAAATAAATAAACAAATAACCAACACAATTTAGACATGGAAGCAATAGTCATCAGTAGATGTAAAAGCAGTACATTACACATTAATATTACATGTGACATATACATACAGTATAATCGCTCAGCATTGGATAAAGCCAATACATTGGAATACAATACATTGGATAAAGCCAAGTTGCTTTTGAATGCTTTCTAGTGATGTGCACATTTTTTTTTTCATTTGGCAAGGGGTTCTATTTAAGTGAGAAAAATAATGATCGCCTGTGCAAAACTTATTTCATAGTCCGCAGACTGTGACTAAATGTTTGGGATTTATTGTACGGATCTACTGCTAGGAATTAATATGTCCTGGACTAATTAGAGATTTCTGTTAACTCCACTTTTGGCCTGTCCTTGGGGGTTGTAAAGGATGATGAAGATGATGATGATGATGATGTTAAGACAATGTCTCCTCCTAGTGGCCAAGTTTGAGACAACAATAAATAAACTGGCTGATTGTTTTTAACAAAATTGCATTAGTAGATAAACTGTACCAAGTTGTAATAATTAGCCAGAAATAATATACCAAATCCACAATATTTAACCATTTAATAATTTCAAGTGTCCATAGATATTGTTTCTAAAAACCATCACTAAGGGATATATTTGTTCTCCTGGATCAACCAAGCCTAAATTAAAATTCTTATAAAAAAAAAAAAAAAAAACTCTACATATTTTTTCTTAAAAGACAACATTTAGTTAAGAAAATATAACAAATATAATGCAATTCTGGGACAAAATTGTAAAAGTGGAGGTATCAAAATACAAATTCTATTGATTTATAGATAAATGCTTCACTTTCATATGTTTGCCACAAAATTGTTAAAGGACCACTATAGGCACCCAGACCACTTCAGCTCAATGAAGTGGTTTGGGTGCCAGGTCCCTCTAGTTTTAACCCTGCAGCTGAAAACATAGCAGTTTCAGAGAAACTGCTATGTTTACACTGAGGGTTAAGTCAGCCTCTAGTGGCTGTCTCCCTGACAGCCGCAGGAGGCGCTTCCGCGATTCTCACTGTAAAAATCACGGTGAGAAGATGCTGGACGTCCATAGGAAAGTATTGAGTAATGCTCTTGCCGCGCATGCACATTCGGATCTGACATTGGCAGGGGGAGGAGAGGTCACCAGCGCCGAGGGAGCCCGGCGTTGGAGAAAGGTAAGTGGCTGAAGGGGTTTTAACCCCTTCAGCCCAGTGGGAGGGGGCCCTGAGGGTGGGGGGGACCTAATGACCCTATAGTGCCAGGAAAATGAGATTGTTTAACTGGCACTATAGTGGTCCTTTAACATTTTACTCAACAGTAATATTGCTGTAAAAAGTATTTGCCTGCATTTTCATTTTTCCTATTTTTTCCTATTTATCATACTATATTGCAATCTGAGTAAAAACAAAATAATTTTTTATTTTTACATTTTAATTTAAATAGAAACACTACAGCCAAATAAGTGTATTTTTAATGCATATAATTAACCATTGCAAACAAATTACTAAAAGTTGCACAAATGTTTCATAAGTACTAAATGAACTAGACTTTAAAGCTAATCAAAATATCGTCCCTCTTCCCATTACTTATTTTCTTTGTTAGTGCTGGGCATAGTCCAATGATATTCTTCTTACAGAGAAACATTGAGAACAAATCTCTGTGTTCAAAAACATCACCACAACGTGGATATGTTTACAGAGATTTAGGGATTCCTATATATAAAATGAATAAATAAATACATTTTTAGGGGTGTTTTGATTGAAATGCTGGATGAGATTTATGGGAGTTATATTTCACAAAAGCCAGCCATGTATCAACTGGCTGCATCACCATGCCATTATGTCAAATGTAATGTTCAACTACAGTTGTTTGCAAAAAAAACAAGAGCAAAATTTCA